TAAGCTACCTTATATTATATAAATTGAGGGCTTGTCCAAATCCACTCCCACGTTTTTCTAAAGCCCAAGGAGAGGGTGAGAGAGGGAGAGTTGGCTCAAGGGAAGGGAGGTAGAGAAGTAAGAAGAAGAAGAAAAAAAAAGGGGAAAGAGAAGGAATTCTTGAAGGTAAGAACATACCACTTCCTTATTTTCTCCAATCCTTTCATCATCTCATTCTATGGTCTAATATGCCTCTTGTGTTGCAAATTGATGGTAAATAGGATGTTTTTGGTGTGTGTGAAGGTGTAGGTATGAAATAGTGTCATTGTCTTGCAAACTTGTGAAATTAGGCACTGCTGCAACTTCTTTAATTTAAAAGAAATATCAAATCTATCTAATTCTCAAATCTAAATTTATTGTAGCATATTTTATGTGTTTAGAGCTTGTGACAATTTTATTAGCTCCTAAGTGTGTGTTTTTAGGGCTTGGATAATTTGTTGAAAAATCTGATCCTAAATCTTTGAAAAATAGTCCACTTTTAGCAATTTTATAAAATTCTAGAAAAATCATCTCGTGTTGGTTCTTCTGTCAAAATTTAGAACTCTGAGTCCTCTTTCCAACAGATTTTATTTGAATTAAAACCATTGGGTAGATTGAGAGAAAAGTTAGTTTTCCCAAAGGGTGACAAATCTGGACAAGTTTTCGAATATAGTTTGTAGTTGAATTTGTGGAGGAGCTGTGCAACTTCTGAAAATTGAAACTGAAACTAGACAGATTGAATATTGCTTTTGTGCAATTTTAGCCCCAATTTGGCCTAGAAGTATTTTTACCAAAGCGCTCTTGTTAGCCCTGCAGAACCGAACAGTGCTGGATATTGTGTTCTATTATGTTATTTGTCTCTAAATGTTTCAAAGCAATTTTAATGTTGTTTTCTTGCCTTACTATACTTATGTATGATGATCATGGACTATATTTCCTCTCGTATGTTTTTCTCATACTCTTTTATATGACTGAATCACCGAATGTGACTAACTTACCTAGCAAAAGATCTAATAAATGGGAAATGATAAGGGGTTTGCAATGGGTGACGTTCATCTTGGTGTTTTAAAACAATTTTATACACATGAGTTCTGATGAGATTAATACTAAATGAGTTAAGTCTTGTGTAAGCAGTTTAAGCGAGCCCCTAGATTGACCCGGATGTATTCAGACTCTATGCGGTGGTTTCAGGGTGTAAGCGAGCCCTTTGGTATGATAGGTGCAGGGTGTAAGCGAGCCCTTTGGTATGATATGTGCAGGGTGTAAGCGAGCCCTAAGAACGATTTGGTATGGTATGTGCAGGGTGTAAGCGAGCCCTAGGCACGATTTGGGTGTAAGCGAGCCCACTTGTTTGGCCGTCCCTTTTGAGGTCTATCAATGTCACTAACCGGTAAATAACTAGGAGATGGGCATAGGTGGTAAGGTCTGCAAAGCAGCAAAAGGGGGAGTCTGAGTAATCCGGTGTTCAGCCTTGTGGCTGGGTAGAAGGATCTCTTTGGGGGATCCTAGATGTCTAGGCAAACTCCTAATTCATAGAACCTTGTTGTAATTTTACATGTTATGTTACCCAATTTGTCCTATGTATGGTTGATTGGTTGATAGAAGATATGGGGATGTGTGTGTTTTTACTGGGCATTCCAAGCTCATGGCGTGTCATGCCAGGTGGTGAAGCAGTTATAATGGTGAAAGTTATTGCGAAGGCAAATATGATGAAGTGTTGGAGCGGTGGTTCATTTGAAGACTTAGACTAGTTGTTTTTTTTGTTTTCAATGTTTTGTAATCCTGTAATGGAAAATAAAAGAATGATTCATGATACTAACTCTGGTTATATATGTATATTAAGATGTTTTGGTTATCTATCCTATTTGTGTGGTAATATTGTGCTCATTTAACGGCTCAGAAGTTGGGGCGTTACAATATTGGTTTCTTGAATGAACTTCCATTGCTAATTTTATGCAACTTCCATTTTTCTTTTTATTCAACTTCCATTTTTATCCAATTTCCTTTTCTATTCAACTTCCTTTTTTTATTTAATTTCCAAATAGATCGATAAGGTATAGAGGTTTTTTGAATGAACTTCCATTGTTAATTTTATGCAACTTCCATTTTTATTTTTATTCGACTTCCATTTTTATTCAATTTATTTTTTTATTCAACTTCATTTTTTATTCAATTTCCAAATAGATCGTTAAGGTGTAGTGGTTCCTTGAATGAACTTCCATTTTTAATTTTATGCTACTTTTATTTTTATTTTTATTCAACTTAAATTTTTATTCAATTTCCATTTCTGTTTAACATCATATTTTATTTAATTTCCAAATAGATCGTTAAGATATAGTGGTTTCTTGAATGAACTTCCATTTTTAATTTTATGCAACTTCCATATAGCGACCTCGGTTGTCCCTTTACTGTTCTGTTGTATTCCGGACTCGGGTCCGTGAAGTTGGTAGTGGTACCTATCTTGTTGTCGTCCTTTAATTCCACTTGATTGAGTTTTAGGATGTTTTGAGCAGGGTTGTTACAGGTTGGTTAGGCCTTGGTTTCAATTCCTTGTTGTTCAGTTTTTAGGCGATCCGCTCGAGCGGGTCTCCTTGCGCTCGAGCGGGGATTGCACACCTCCAGTATTTCGTGTTCCTGCAAAACTTCTGCAGATGTGATTTTTACGCTCGAGCGGGTTTGTTTACGCTCGAGCGGTAGCGCTCGAGCGGGTTTGGTGGCGCTCGAGCGGGTAGTACCTTCTGGGTATAAGTTCTGGGAGGGGTAATTCTACGCTCGAGCGGACTGATTTTTGCGCTCGAGCGGAAGCGTTTTATTTTTGTGTCTTGGCGCTCGAGCGGGCCTTATTGCGCTCGAGCGTGTTCAGATTTTTATTCTTGGCGCTCGAGCGTTGTGTTCTCCGCTCGAGCGGGTCATGCGTATATGAGTTATCCGCTGGGTGATTTTAAATCACTTTTTGCTTTTCTTTCTCTCTCCTACTTTTTCTAAAACTCATTTTGAGAGCTCCTCTCTCTAAAACCTTGACTTCTCTCTAGGTATTGATCTAGTAGGAAAATTATTCAGTATTACAGAAGTTCCATCTCATCTATCCTATGTGGTTTAGAGTGCTCTATTTCGATTTAGTGTTAGTGCGCCCACCATGTTGGCAACTCACTTAACCCTTAAGCAAATGTTAACGTCTGTTAACCTAGAGAGAAGAAAATTTGTTAGCTTTTATAGAGAAGAAAAATATTATTTTATTTTCAAGATGATAACTCCCGCTCAAGATGATATTTTCATTTTCTTGCTTTTTTAACCATTCAGAGTCTTGATAGGTAGATCCAATCTTGTAAGAATTGTACTATATATATATATATAAGGATTTTCATGTATGGTACAAAAAAAAATATAGATTATTAGATTTAGATAAGATAAATACTAGTCATTGGATGAATTAGAAGTAAAGGGTCCAATTATGGTGTGCAAAAGTGGTATTTGCGTACCATACATAAATTGAAACTTGACTTACTGCTTCATTTATTATTATTGTTGTTGTTGTTGTTGATGATGATGATGATGATGGTGGTGGTGGTGGTGGAGAAATAAATTGAAACAAATCAGATCTATTTAAACAGATAAAAAAAATGGCTTGGTATTTCAATAGATTACTCTTTGAATTTCAACAAAAGGCTTTGTATTTCAACAAAATACAAAATAGTTAAACAGGTAAGGGAAATTTGAATTGAAAATATTAAAAAATTAATCAGATAGGATAGATTTCTCACTAACAAAAAAATATCCACTAGACCTAATGCCTTATACCTTTCTTAGCATACAGATTTTTGAAATTTATAATGAAACGATAAAAATTTTAAAACCAAATCAAACTAAACAAGTAATTTTATAACATGATCGCTAAATATTACTTGTAACTTACTCGAACATCAAGCAAATAAAAATAATTTACATAATTATTTAAAACTTAATTCTACTACTATTCAATTAAATATAATTTGCTACTTAATAAAGGTCCACTTACTATTACATTAAATTATTAAATAAATTATTTGGACATGTTAGGCATTTTTTAAAAATATTTGAATCCCACTTACTACTCATTTAAAAATACAGATCACGTTTGTAGTTGATGATGCAAATGAGACTTTAGGAATTATCTATACCATCTATACTGTTACATGAAGAGCTTGGAATGGAGGGTATGTAAGATTGCACATCCTCTGGTTGGATTCATTGAGCACGAGTTAGTCGTCTGTGTTCAGGTAGGCCCTCATTCTCCAAGTGAATGTCTGCCCCAGATGATGATCCATTGTTAGCAAGCTCAGTTGGGCCTGCAAAAAAACAATACAGATCATGTTTATAGTTGATGATGCAAACAAGACTTTAGGAATTATATTATCAATACATTAGGCCTTTTTCTTATGCCATGTGTCCTTGCTTTTATATTGAAAACAATATATATATATATATATATATATGCATAAGACTTGAAACCTTGACTTTGAGTGTAAAGAATAAAACTTTGAACACTTGAACAATACATATAGTATTGTATTATTTAATTTTTTTAATCATTTATTTAAATTGCACATGCATCGTGTGTGTCAATCGCTAGTATATAATGTGTAGTGTAAAAATGGTCCACCCGGCCTGAAGCCCACCCAAAGCTTGTCAGCTGCCCAACCAAGCTCAAGCCCGATCCCCAATCGAAACCCCGAGCTTGGGCATGGGCCGTGCATTATTTGGATCGGCCCAACCCCGCTCCAAGCCCACTCTGAAGCCCACCTGAGGCCCAACCCAATCGAGGTCCAACCTTATTTTAAAGCAATTTTAGTGAAAAAAATGAAAATAAATAAATAAATAATTGTCGAGCCCGAATCTCCCTAAGGCTTGGGCTAGAGCTTGGGCCTAGGTCCAGATTTCACAAGATTGGCTTGGCCCGACCTGATTTTTGGCGGGAGCCCGGCAAGGCCTAAGGACAGGGCCAAAATTACACCCCTATACATGTGGAACTAGCTTCTCTTCTCCACTTTAGTTGAGTCTGTGAAGTTCATCACAATAGTTGTTTATTTTGTAGGCCTGTGTGTGTATATATATATAGGAGGTCTATGTATGTGTATATATATATAGGGTCAGGCTAAAATATGTATATACAAGTTATGACATTTGTGATTTTTTTGTTTATTACCACAAATGTCATCAATAAATCCTTTTTAGTTATAGCTAAAAAGGACTGATTAGTCATACCAAAACATCACACAAGAAATAATAATAAAAAAAATTCTTTCGAAAATGCTATGGTGTGCACTCCTTTAGGTGTGCATACCATATGCATCGTACCACTAAATGTATAATTTTATCATAAAATTTTATAACATCAATCTTAAAATGCTAAGTTTGTCACAAATTGACGTAACAAAAAATGTCATAACTAAACTATAAACTTTTGCAACATTAATCACAAAATTTTGGACATTTTGTTAAGCTAATTTGTGATGAGATTACGTATTTTGTAATTGATGTTAGAACTTTTGTGACAAAATTATATATTTTGTGTAGGGTACATTATAGGAGAAGCAGAATCAAATAATAAATTATATAGGAATATTTTGATTTAGTACAAGATAGCTTACAAATATTTTGATTTGAGGTACAGAAGGTGAAAATTTTGCTATGTAATGGGTTCCACAAACACTCATGCAAAAAAACACTAGTTGGACTAGATAAAGCTAGTATTTTGTCAACTAGAAAGAAATTATTAGAGGAAAATCATTGAACGTAAAGGGCACTTGGAAGTGGCAGTAGCACTATGATCAGTTTTAAACAGAATAGATATGGGAATTGGACTCACCCGAATTTCGAGCTATGGATGATGTTGATGATGATCCATCTCTCATCGGTTCTTCAAATAGGGTGCTGCTGTTGCTATGGTTCTCTGACAGCATTGAGTAAACACGACCCATGGTGGGTCGTAGTTCTGGATCATATTCAGTGCACATTATCCCAATATGTACGCACAATTGTACCTGATCAAGGACAGCCGATGGTATCAATTTCCGGTCCATAAACTCTGACACCCTTCCTTCCTTGTAGAGCTCATTTTCCTTCATCAACAACAAATAATCATGTCACAACTCAGCAACAAGCTCAGTCAGAGACACCTCCCTTGTATGATAATGGCTAATTGCAAAGCAAACTCAGTTCAAATTAAAAATGTGAATCAGGTGTGCTTACCGTATCCTATATATCTTGACCATTGGAAGACCAATCATGGAAAAGCCAATCCCTGGCCTTGTTGAGCAGCAGCCCCCCACTGCTGAAGAAGCTATTGACGACGGTGTCTATGGTGGAGGAAGTGTTGCAGATTCCAGTGGATAGCAAGAGGCTATTAGTTAGATCCCACATTTACCAATAAGAAGAAAACTTTACTAATAATGGTGCATGCTCTGAGACTAAGACACATTCATCATTTTGAATAATACTCTCAGAATTTATCCACAATGATATGACGTGTTACATGTCAACTTTTGATTTATCACAAACTCAATCATTACCCTGTCATTCTGGATAAATTGTGAATTCTAAATTGTAAGTCTCACATTTCTTGTGTACTGAATCTTATTAGTGGTTTTTACAATAGCTAGTTTAATACTTAAAAGCTAAGTTCCATGTAAGGTCTAACTTTCGATTTTTTGACCTTTTTTTTATTTTTATTTTTAATTATACTAAAGCTAAATTCCCAAACGTGACCTTAATGTCAAATATATGCAATTCAAAAATTCACATCCCTCCAAAAATGCCCTACAAGCACCTAGACATAAAGGTTCATCGACCAATCTGGGTTAGTTTGGAAGCTAAGATTCTCCAGATGGAGGTTTTAATTTAATATTAAGAAAAATCCTTTTATCAAATTTGAGAGCTGCTACAATTCCGTTACAAACATGTTATAACTTTTCTCACTAAACTAGTTCATAATATTTTAATAAGGAAATTACTAATTAAAACTGTACAATCTAGATTATCTAACATATTGTTAGGTTTTTGTTATTGACAATCCCGTTTACACTTATGTAATTCATTTATGCCTTCTTAGTGGATTGTTTTGTGACTTTTGCCAGTGATTTTTATCACAATTGGAGACGCTCCAATTGTAATTTTTCCACGTAAAATCGTTGTGTCAATTTGTCTTTGATTGTTTGATTGGTATTGTTATTTACTAGTTAAAATTGGTATATAATCACAAATCAATATCTCGGGGATTTAAGATTTTTCACATACCATTAACATAATTAATCTATTAAATTTTCTTGTGACCTAGTCAGAAAGTAAGATTTGATCAAATCAACTTTGAAAATAAAAATTTTTAGAATAATATAATCAGCAATATTCTATAAACAATTCATACATTTGTAAAACAGCAGTCTATTACTTTCAAATATTTACAATTGGGTTTTTGGGCCCTTAAGTTCAAAGTTTAGACTTAGGTAAGTTGGATTGGACCCTCATTTTTTTATCAAGTCTTAACAAAAATATTTTTACTTTTGAGCCTAGTATAAATGTTGGACTTATCTAAAAAGCCAGACATCTATTATTGACTTACCTTGAGAGGGTGAATAAGCGAATTAATAACAATTCTTATTAATTACTCAATTTGTAGCCTTTAAATGATTAAACACACAATAAAAACACCAAGATTTTAAGTGGAAAACCCAAAAGGCACGTCTCAACACCCAACAAAAATCCACTAAGAAAATTCAATAATACAACCTAGGTTTACCTAGGGGTGAGCATGGTTCGGATTAGTCCAGATTGGGGTAAAATCACGACCAATCTATTAACTACGATTCTTGAAAAATTGAAACCAATCCGAACCAATCCATTTAAACATGGATTGGATCGGATTAGGACCTCGGATTCCCATAATTAACTACCAAAACAGATGTCCCATATAAAAAAAATTTACTTACAGATAGATTGATTAACAATGATACAAGTATGGCAGATTGATTACTTACAGATAGATTGATTAACAATGATACAAACTGATTAATAAACAATGATACAGGTATCTCTTACTTAAAAATAGAAAAAAATCGAAAGATAAAAACAGATCTATACACACCCATATAAAAACAGAAAAATAATCTGAGATAAACAATGATCAACAGAGATGAACAATAATCTGAGATACAATCACAATGATCAACAATCAACAGAGATTTTTTTACAGATCTATACACACCTATATAAAAACAGAAAAACAATCTGAGATAAACAATGATCAACAGAGATGAACAATAATCTGAGATATACACACAATGATCAACAATCAACAGAGATTTTTTACAAATCAACACACACACACACACACACACACACACACACAGAATGAGAGAGCTCAAACAGATTTATTCATCAAATGTGACAAATTTGGGGCTAAAAAAATCAACAAACAGAACATGATTCCCTCAAAAACAAAATATAATATATATATATATATATAGAGAGAGAGAGAGAGAGAGCTACAGCGACAGCTACCGATCTGAGATGGATGATGATCGGAGATGGAAGATCTGAAAGTGTCTGAGAAAGAAGAGAGAGAGTTCCGAGAGAGAGAGATATGAAAGTGTGAGAGGCAGTGAGTGAGCGGCGTGAGGTTAAAGATCTGAGATGGATGATGATTAGAGATGGAGGATCTGAGAGTGTTTGAGAAAGAGAAGAAAGAGAGTATCGGGGAGAGACAGATGAGAGTGTGAAAGGTAATGAGTGAGTGAGTGAGCGGTGTGTGAGGTTGAAGATCTGAGATGGATGATCGGAGATGCATGATGATCGGAGAGTGTCTGAGAAAGAGAAGAGAGAGAGAGAGTACCGAGAGAGAGAGATGAGAATGTGAGAGACTGAGTGAGCTGAGCGAGCTGAGCGGCGTTAGGGTTAGTGTTCACCTTTTATATGAAACAAGAAATGATATTATGTGGGAGGGTATATGATATAAATATAGACTAAATGTATACGGTCCGAATCGATTCCAATCCAGAACCGTGAGGTTCAATCCAGAACCGATCCGTAACCTGCGGATTTTTAAATTTCTAATCCAGAACCGAAGCACGGATTCAAAAAACCAATCCAATCCTACCGGATTAGACTAGACCGGATCGGATTATGGATTATACAGATTCCTTGCTCAGCCCTAGGTTTACCTCCCACCAGCCAGAAGCCTGCCTGAGGCCCAGCTCGACGAGCCTGATCTAGACAAGCCCTGACGCCCAACATCACTTGCAAGCTATTTTGGTGAAAAAAAAAATTATAAAAAAAAAAAAAGTCAATCCTAAGGCCCGAAACCAGATTACCCATGGATTTGGGCCTATATTTTTTGGAATTAGGCCGCCCTGGCCCGGTCCAATTTTTGGTGAGAGCCAAGTGGGCCTAGCATTTTTACACCACTATGTTTACCTAACTCTGCTAACAAATGCCTCTATATCCAAAATTATCAAGCATAACTGCAAATACATTTGGTGTTGAGAGGAAAAGAAAAAAAGTAATCGCTAATGTTAGAGTCTTTCTTTCTTTTAATTATCGACACTACCTACGAGGGAATATTTTTGTTATTTAGGATCAATTATCACAAAGGCTGAGGAGATTGAAGCAAATGTGGTCTATAGAGTTAAGGCATCGGAGGAGTGCATCTGGGATACTGTGCGATAAACAAATACCTACTAGACTAAAAGGGAAGTTCTATAGAACGGCTATTTTACCAGTGAGGTTGTATGGGACGAAATGTCGGACAAGTAAGAAACAATATGTAAATAAGATGAGTGCTGCTGAGATGATGATACCTAGGTGGATGTGTGACAAGACTAGAAAAGACAAAGTTAGGAATGAGTATATTCGAAAATGGGTAGGACTAGTACCAATAGAAGATAAGTTGTGGGAGAACAGATTGAGACGGTTTGATCATATACAACGAAGACCAACAGAGGCAGTAGTGAAGCGATGCGATGCGATACAGTGACAGTAGATGGAAGTGTTAGGGGAAGGGGCAGACCTAGATTGACGTGGATTAGTGTAGTAAATAGAGATATAAGAACATCTCCAATGCACTAGGCATATAATACTTGTTAGTTAAAATGCCTAGTGTGATTCACTTTTTTCAATTCCAATGCACTAGGCATATGATTAGGCATTTTGCCTCAACTCATATTCACTAGCTACATGTAGCTAGCCTTCAACGCTAGGCAAAATGTATTCAATCATTAGGATCATTTCCCTCCATCTTTGTTGTTGACGTGGCATTCTATAAAATTAATAGTATTTGGATAAATAGTTAAAATAAAGAGCATGATTGGAGTAAAAACATAAAACAGTCGATAGGCAAAATAAAATATATATTTTATAGTAATATTTAGATAGGTAAAATGCCTACTACCGTTGGAGATGCTCTAAATCTCCTTAATTTGACTAACGATATGGCTTTGGATAGAGCCGAATAGAGAAGAATGATTCATGTAGCCAACCCCATTTGATGGGACTTGAGGCTTAATTTGGTTTGGTTATTCTAATTTTAACTGTGTATATCAACCATCAAATGTTGGATTTTATTTGCACTACTACACCAAAAATGCATAATGTTTTTTACATACTCGAGAACATACAACCAACACCCAAATGCAAAAATCAAAGCAATCTTTTACTTTTGAGATTCTAAAATTCATGCCGCATATGTGATTACAGGCAAAACTAGAAATGACAGGGAAAGTAACAAATGATTGAAACATAAACCGCTGTTGTATAACATTTTTGATAATATTGATATGATTTTATTCAATGTGTGTGTAATGAAATTTAAGAAATTATAATGAATAAATAATAAATACTATCTGGTCATAACACATTGCCTTTTCACGAACTTCATACAACAAATTGAACCAGTGCCATCCATTAAGACCTATTTGTCAAGTGGTACGCCTACATTGGTACTGTGTGGCTAAAAGGGATTTACAACACTAATGAGAGAAAACTAGAAACTACATACCTCTTATCCGCTTGTTGCAGCAATTCTTGGAACCCAAGAAAATGATCCAGCGAACTGCATTCGATGATGATGTCTTTTGTTAGAGAGGATCCCACAATCCTGTTAAAATGAATGCAGCAGATCTATGGATGAAGCGAATGTCTGAAGACAACCAATACGTTCAGCCCAGATGACTAACCCTAAAGGTAACAAATACAAGGTAATTAAGCCCAACTTTTTTATCTAAAATAATAATTTCCAAGCAGATGAAAATATTCAAGTATTCAAATACTTTTTGAGACTTGCAAATTATGAGGAAAAAGAAATCAAATGGAATTTTACTTTTTCTTTGTTTGGCTGTATTGGAAAATTGTGAAGGGAATTTTCTTGTTTTGAAGTAACCCAGTTTTCATTATAAAACAGTGAGGAAAATGGGGAAACATGACTAACCACCAAAGGAAAAGGATGCAGGAAACTCGCAATCCAATCAAATTCACATTTCTAATAAATGGATTCTTTATGGTTTTACTTTTTCTTCCTCTTTTTCCCTCTTCATTTCCTTTCCCTTTCTTTTTCGTTTTACCTGACTGTTCCAGGGAACCAAAAAGAGCTTATATGTATTTACGAAGCAACAAAATTCATACTTTATGAGTGTTTGTGAACTCCTAAAGCTACACTTTGACAGAACCTTTTCTTTGACATTACCTAATAACCAAGGTTTTAAGTAAAGGTGGCAGCTACCATAATGGTAACAGTAAAGTCGATGCAGCTGCGGAAAGTAACGACCGTAGCATAATAGTGGTGGCAATCGATCGGATCGATAAATTTTTTGGTTCTTCGCACAACTTCAGGAAAACATACTGACAAACATGTTTTTATTTCAAAATCACATTCAGTGAGGTTTATAATGATTTTTCGTGTGTTTTGTTTAGTTTTAAATATGATCGAATATGTTTACTAATTTTTATGTTATGTTTAAGTCACTATAGGGATTTTTCCTATTGTTGGACGTATTTAATTTTCCTTACTTCGCTAATTATACTTGTAGATAACTTGCCACTTGTTAAGAAGAAGAAAAAACGAAACATGTTTAATATTAAAAATGATAATCTCATAACCATAAGTACATACATAATACAAAATATAAACATACTAATGTAAAAATACTTAACATGATATACAAATTTTGTTCAATAAATTTAACCTAAGAGCAAATATAGATATAATATATTAATATTCAAAGAATCAAATAAGAAATTAATGAAAGTTTGTCAATAAAAAGTAATGAAAGTTGGGAGACAGAGAGAGAGAGAAGTAAGCTCATTTAACTTTTATAGCAACTTAAGTCTTGTAAAACTTGAATATTGGACATTCAAAACGTGTAGCTCTAAGATATTCACATAAGTTCTATATCCTTTTTGTGTGATTTTAACAACTAGAGAAAAATGGCCTTATATACAAAATCTATTATTAAAAAAATAGAAACATATGATCGTAATGGCGGCAAAGGTCAAATGAATAAATTGGACCAAAGAGCAAATATAGACATAATATAAGTTAATATTCAAAGAATCAAATGAGATTAATGAAAGCTTTTCAATAAAAAGGTAATTGGAGAGAGAGAGAGAGAGAGAGACAGAGAAGTAAGCTCATTTAACTTTAATATCAACTCAAGTCTTGTAGAACTTGAAGATTGGACATTCAAAACTTGTAGATCTAACATTTTGACATAAGTTCTGTATTCTTTTTGTGCGATTCTAACAACTAGAAAAAAGAGAAATGAGAAAAATGGCCTTATATACCTAATCTATAAAATAAAAATAGAAGTGTAATGATTGTAATGGCGGCAACGAAATTGTAACGGCACCGTAATGGCCATTACGACCTTTACACAACAGTGGCAACCATTACGGACGTGAATTTTTGTCACACCGCCGTAGCGGTCGTAACAGGTGGCAGTAATGGTTGCGGAGGCTTTTTAAAACTATGCTAATAACAGGAATTCTGGTAGCCAACAACAGTTAATCAGGGAACATAAATAGTGCCAGAAGAACCTTTAGGAACAAAAACTGAAGGAAAGAACTAGTTGGTGGAGATATAAAGAGAGCCTTCATGTGCAAAGAGGAGGTATCTAACATTGACTCGCTAGCCGTTATACTTGGTTGTAGAGTTTTACTAAGTAATCCAATCAACATTACTTTGTCGAGTTTTCCTACACATTTTAGGTCCTCGTATGCTGTAACTATCACTGCTACTAAGATAGTGTTTGGTCCACTAGAATGGAGTCGAATAGAATAATCATTCCATCAAAATATCCATTCACATATTTGGTTGACTGAAAAACATAATGAAATATGCATTGCAACTGAAATTGTCAATCACCATTGTAAGAAATAATCATTCCATAGGGGAGCTTAAAGAATGGCCATTCCATTTCATTCCATCTCTTTCCAATGAAGCAAATACAGCGAGAGATTAGAAAAGCAATGGATCAACTTTTTCTAGGGTAGAATGGAGGTGGAATTCAAGTAACCATTTGGTAGACTAGGGCTCAATTTGTACTTCTATTATTGGCTAGGGACTTGGTATCAAGAAGTTAGAAATGCCTAATCAAGCTTTATTGGGGAAGCGGAGGAGAAGTTTTGTGGGTGAGAGGGATATATGATGAAGAATGGTAGTAGCTCTGAAGTATGTGTGTGATTTAGGGGATTGGACCTCTCTAGAAGTATCTCTTTCTTATGGCATATTTGGAAAGGTATTAGAAAGGAGTGGGAATAAGTTTGTAGTGAATATTAGTATGGTGGTGGGAGCTGGGACGAGGGTGAAGTTTTGGTCTTCAAGAGAGTAAGCATTGTAACTTTGTGCACTTAGGTTGTGTTTGGACAATGGATTTGGATAGGTCTTTGGAAAGGAAAAGGTGAAGGAAATTTGCATGAAATATAAGATAATTTTTTTCTCCATTTCCTCACATTTTCCTTTCTCTTTCCAAATCCCTACCTAAATGCATAATCCAAACACAGCCTTACTGTGTTCGATATAGATGAAGATAATGATGAAAGAGAAATTTAACATCAAACCTTAGAGGATTACTTTCAGTTTGAAGAAATTAAACTATCCTTGTGAGTACATATGTTTTTACACTTTTAGGGAAAAATGGAAAATTCAAGCTAAAAAAAAAAAAAGTATGTCATTAGTTATTCATATTTTTTCATATAACTAGAAAAGTTATTTAGAGAAATTAGGATGGTAGTCCCTTACTTTAATCATTGTGTCATTTTAGTCTTTGTAATTTTAATTGGCTTGATTTTGACCTTAAAATTTTCATTTTGTCTTAATTTAGTCAAATTGATTATAATTCTTAACTTTTCTTTATGGAAAATAAGTACATAAATGTCACGCGTCATATTTTTAAGGACAATTATAGACTTATTTGACTCAGGAAGTTAATTTCAACAAATTTAGTGGTAATTTTTTTTAAAAAAACACTAACGATATTATCAGTTGGATCAAATTGATACAAAATCTAAAATTAAATATTAAAATTAAGCCAATTAAAAATGTAAAGATCAAAAATAATATAAGAGGTAAAATATAAGAACCATTTGTAATTTGCCTAAATTATTTCTAAACATATTTTATCTCTTAAAAAAAAAATCAAAAAAGTACAAAAAAAAAAAAAAAAGTCAATCCTAAGACCCGAAACCAGATTACCCATGGATTTGGGCCTATATTTTTTGGAATTAGGCCGCCCCGGCCCGGTCCAATTTTTGGGTAGAGCCAAGCGGGCCTAGCATTTTTACACCACTATGTTTACCTAACTCTGCTAACAAATGCATCTATTTATCCAAAATTATCAAGCATAACTGCAAATACATTTGGTGTTGAGTGGAAAAGAAAAACAGTAATCGCTAATATTGGAGTCTTTCTTTCTTTTAATTATCGACACTACCTAAGAATGAACATTTTTGTTATTTATGATCAATTATCACAACGGATGGGGAGATTGAAGCAAATGTGGTCTATAGAGTTAAGACATCAGAGGAGTGCATCTGGGATACTATGCGAGAAACAAATACCTACTAGACTAAAAGGGAAGTTCTATAGAACTGTTATTATACCAGTGATGTTGTATGGGACGAAATGTCGGACAAGTAAGAAACAATATGTAAATAAGATGAGTGCTGCTGAGATGATGATACTTAGGTGGATGTGTGACAAGACTCGAAAAGACAGAGTTAGGAATGAGTATATTCGAAAATAGGTAGGAGTAGTACCAATAGAAGATAAGTTAAGGGAGAACAGATTGAGACGGTTTGATCATATACAACGGAGACCAACAGAGGTAGTAGTGAAGGGATGCGATACAGTGACGGTAGATGGAAGTGTTAAGGGAAGGGGCAGACCTAGATTGACGTGGATTAATGTAGTAAATAGAGATATAAATCTTCTTAATTTGACTAACGATATGGCTTTGGATAGAGCCGAATAGAGAAGAATGATTCATGTAGCCAACCCCATTTGATAGAACTTGAGGCTTAATTTGGTTTGGTTATTCTAATTTTAACTGTGCATATCCACCATCAAGTGTTGGATTTTATTTGCACTGCTACACCAAAAATGCATAATGTTTTTTACATACTCGAGAACATACAACCAACACCCAAATGCAAAAATCAAGCAATCTTTTACTTTCGAGATTCTAGAAATCATGCCACATATGTGATTACAGGCAGAACTAGAATTGACAGGGAAAGTAACAAATGATTGAAACATAAACTGCTGTTGTATAACATTTTTGATAATATTGATATGATTTTATTCAATGTGTGTGTAATGAATAAATAATAAATACTATCTGGTCATAACACATTGCCTTTTCACGAACTTCATACAACAAATTAAACCGGTGCCATCCATGAAGACCTATTTGTCAAGTGGTACGCCTACATTGGTACTGTGTGGCTAAAAGGAATTTACAACACTAATGAGAGAAAACTAGAAACTACATACCTCTTATCCGCTTGTTGCAGCAATTCTTGGAACCCAAGAAAATGATCCAGCGAACTGCATTCGATGATGATGCCTTTTGTTAGAGAGGATCCCACAATCCTGTTAAAATGATGCAGCAGATCTATGGATGAAGCGAATGTCTGAAGACAACCAATACGTTCAGCCCAGATGACTAACCCTAAGGCCATGTTTGTTTGGGCGGACTGGATTAGCATTCCCATGACTAATAGTCCTACGACTACGAATCCATTGGATTATGTATCCTATCTTAACTAATAGTCAAGTTTAAAATAATTAGTCCGTACTTCAATTGTTTAACCAAACATCGGATTACTAATTTTATTAGACTATTAGTCCAATCCCAAACTCATATCCACCCAAACAAACATGACCTAAAGGTAACAAATACAAGGTAATTAAGCCCAACTTTTTTATCTAAAATAATAATTTCCAAGCAGATGAAAATATTCAAGCATTCAAATACTTTTTGAGACTTGCAAATTATGAGGAAAAAGAAATCAAATGGAATTTTACTTTTTCTTTGTTTGGCTGTATTGGAAAATTGTGAAGGGAATTTTCTTGTTTTGAAGTAACCCAATTTTCATTATAAAACAGTGAGGAAAATGGGGAAACATGACTAAACACCAAAGGAAAAGGATGCAGGAAACTCGCAATCCAATCAAATTCACATTTCTAATAAATGGATTCTTTATGGTTTTACTTTTTCTTCCTCTTTTTCCCTCTTCATTTCCTTTCCCTTTCTTTTTCGTTTTACCTGACTTTTCCAGGGAACCAAAAAGAGCTTATATGTATTTACGAAGCAACAAAATTCATACTTTATGAGTGTTTGTGAACTCCTAAAGCTACACTTTGACAGCACCTTTTCTTTGACATTACCTAATAACCAAGGTTTTGAGTAAAGGTGACGGCCACCATAATGGTAACAGTAAAGTCGATGCAGCTGCGGAAAGTAACGGCCGTAGCATAATAGTTGTGGCAATCGATCAGAGCGATAAATTTTTTGGTTCTTCACACAACTTCAAGAAAACATACTGACAAACATGTTTTTATTTCAAAATCACATTTAGTGAGGTTTATAATGATTTTTCGTGTGTTTTGTTTAGTTTTAAATATGATCGAATATGTTTACTAATTTTTTTGTTATGTTTAAGTCACTACAGGGATTTTTCCTATTGTTGGATGTATTTAATTTTCCTTACTTCATTAATTATACTTGTAGATAACTTGCCACTTGTTAAGAAGAAAAAAAACGAAACATGTTTAATATTAAAAATGATAATCTCATAACCATAAGTACATCCATAATACAAAATATAAACATACTAATGTAAAAATACTTAACATGATATTCAAATTTTGTTCAATAAATTTGACCTAAGAGCAAATATAGATATTATATATTAATATTCAAAGAATCAAATGAGAAATTAATGAAAGTTTGTCAATAAAAAGTACTGAAAGTTGGGAGAGAGAGAGAAAGAGAGAGAGAAGTAAGCTCATTTAACTTTGATAGCAACTTAAGTCTTGTAAAACTTGAATATTGGACATTCAAAACTTGTAGCTCTAAAATATTCGCATAAGTTCTATATCCATTTTGTGTGATTTTAACAACTAGAGAAAAATGGCCTTATATACAAAATCTATTATTAAAAAAATAGAAACATATGATCGTAATGGCGGCAAAGGTCAAATGAATAAATTTGACCAAAGAGCAAATATAGATATAATATAAGTTAATATTCAAAGAATCAGATGAGATTAATGAAAGCTTTTCAATAAAAAGGTAATTGGAGAGAGAGAGAGAGAGAGAGAGAGAGAGAGAAGTAAGCTCATTTAACTTTAATATCAACTCAAGTCTTGTAGAACTTGAAGATTGGACATTCAAAACTTGTAGATCTAACATTTTGACATAAGTTCTATATTCTTTTTGTGCGATTCTAACAACTAGAAAAAAGAGAAATGAGAAAAATGGCCTTATATACCTAATCTATAAAATAAAAATAGAAGTGTAATGATTGTAATGGCGGCAACGAAATTGTAATGGCACCGTAACGGCCATTACCACCTTTACGCAACAATGGCAACCATTACGGATGTGAATTTTTGTCACACAGCCGTAGCGGTCGTAACAGGTGGCAGTAATGGTTGCGGAGGCTTTTTAAAACTATGCTAATAACAGGAATTCTAGTAGGCAACAACAGTTAATCAGGGAACATAAATAGTGCCAGAAGAACCTTTAGGAACAAAAACTGAAGGAAAGAACTAGTTGGTGGAGATATAAAGAGAGCCTTCATGTGCAAAGAGGAGGTATCTAACATTGACTCGCTAGCCGTTATACTTGGTTGTAGAGTTTTACTAAGTAATCCAATCTAACATTACTTTGTCGAGTTTTCCTACACATTTTAGGTCCTCGTATGCTGTTACTATCACTGCTACTAAGATAGTGTTTGGTCCACTAGAATGGAGTCGAATAGAATAATCATTCCATCAAAATATCCATTCACATATTTGGTTGACTGAAAAACATAATGAAATATGCATTGCAACTGAAATAGTCAATCACCATTGTAAGAAATGATCATTCCATAGGGGAGCTTAAAGAATGGCCATTCCATTTCATTCCATCTCTTTCCAATGAACCAAATAGAGCGAGAGATTAGAAAAGCAATGGATCAACTTTTTCAAGGGTAGAATGCTGGTGGAATTCAAGTAACCATTTGGTAGACTAGGGCTCAATTTGTACTTCTATTATTGGATAGGGACTTGGTATCAAGAAGTTAGAAATGCCTAATCAAGCTTTATTGGGGAAGCGGAGGAAAAGTTTTGTGGGTGAGAGGGATATATGATGAAGAATGGTAGTAGCTCTGAAGTATGTGTGTGATTTAGGGGATTGGACCTCTCTAGAAGTATCTATTTCTTATGGCATATTTGGAAAGGTATTAGAAAGGAGTGGGAATAAGTTTGTGGTGAATATTAGTATGGTGGTGGGAGCTGGGATGAGGGTGAAGTTTTGGTCTTCAAGACAGTAAGCATTGTAACTTTGTGCACTTAGGTTGTGTTTGGACAATGGATTTGGATAGGTCTTTGGAAAGGAAAAGGTGAAGGAAATTTGCATGAAATATAAGATAATTTTTTTCTCCATTTCCTCCCATTTTCCTTTCTCTTTCCAAATCCCTACCTAAATGCATAATCCAAACACAGCCTTACTGTGTTTGATATCGATGAAGATAATGATGAAAGAGAAATTTAACATCAAACCTTAGAGGATGGCAGGGGCAAAGAAGCTTTGTGCACGGCCTTTCTAGGTTCTGTTAGCTGTCAAATCTCTCGAAGTTGTTATGCTATATCTTCTACAAGTTGCAGTTGAAATTTTTCCCTTTCCTGATAGTGCACAGAGAAGTTGAGCTTCTGTCTTTGTTCCTGGACAATGCTGAACCTCTCTCCGAGTAACTCAACTTCCATGTCAATTTTCAATCTTTCATTGTCAGCTGCTGACATCAAATTTTTCTGCAGACCAGAAACTATAGATTTCTCTACATATACTTGCTTGAAAATCAGCTTCTTCATCCCATTCGGAAATTCATAATTCCTCTCCAAGAGCAGGGGTGTACAGTTTTGCTTATCAATAGACAATACCTCATTAACTGAACTTTTATCTTTTACAATTTCCTTCTTGTCAATGGATTCACTAGCTGTTGGAGCATCAGCCTGTTCTCTCTGCATGTTCACCATTTACTGAATGTCATCTTGTAACTGTTAATTTCCAATATGAATCATCTGCCTATAAGCTTCAACTTCCCTTTCCAAGAAATGCTTCTCTTTCTGTCTCCTCACAAGAATTTCTTTACAGATGTTCATTTCTACAGCATCATAAGCAGATTTTTCTTCTATTATCCTCTGGTATTGCCAAGCTTCCATTTCTATGGATGCCTTCTCGTCTTGTAGACGCGGTATTATAGCCATGGCCTCATCTGCAGCTGTAGCAGCAGCACTTCTCTCCTTCTCAAGCTCAAGGTAAAGAGCAGCACGAGCAGCGTGTTCTTCTGAATGCATTTTTCTCATTACCTTCATAACCCAGTTCCTTCTGCACATTACTCTTTATCTCTTCATAGGATGATTCACTTTTCTAAGCTAGTTTCTTTTCATGAAGAGTTCCATCCAACTGAAAGCCGTGTGAAGCTCTATCCCCAAAATTCTTAACAACTGGAGTGTCCTCGTCATCTAAATCACATACCACACACAATAGCATTGTCATGCATCGTATTAGCAATAACCTAAGCATGGATCTATGAATGCTTCCATTTATGTTCTGTAAGATTCCATGTAAAATCTGATACACCAACCAAGTATTCATGACAACTCATGTCCAAAACATTGTTTTGAAATGGGTGCAAAGCTTATGCCCTGAGGAGAGCACAAGGAATAATCCTTTGAGGTTTAAACATTCACACTAACAGTTTAAAGTGCTAATTGAAAAAGAGACATAAAAATTATACTTTAACCCTTGCCATATATGTATTGGTGGTAGTCCATTTGTTTAAAACCAGAACAACCTCTTCACTTCTTTTTTTCTTTTTCTTTTTCTTTTCTTAAATGCATTTTATTTGTTCTTTCTTCTTTATTGTCAATGTTTATCTGCATTATATCTATGTTAAGTAAAAAAGAGGCCAAAGTTGTATTATGTATCTACGACTCAGAGAGAAAGAAAACAACAAATTCTACAAATCTAGTTGTTTGGGATTTGATCAATTAAAAATGTAGGTATCGTCAAAGAAACATGAAGCACTAACCTAGGGGGTGAGTTTAACCAATAAAAAAATTTTAAAAATTCCCTTACAAGCCGTCTCACACACACACACACATAGATGAATAATTTCGATCATATGAAGGGCTCCTGAACTTTTCCACTTTTGTTCTTTATTTTAAGGATTTTAAAATATAACTCTTTTAAAAGCATTTACTACGTGCATATGGCACCTCCGAGTCTATCCTTGAAAACCCTAGGAGAATTTAAGAATCCTTGCTTTTAAAATAACTAAAGGATTTCAAGACCAAGGAATTTGACATCCCTTTATGGTTTAAAATCCCTTCCCATCCCTTTGCCAAGAGTGGCCAAGGTTTTTAAAAAAATTATTATACATAATTTCACCAGAAAGGTCTTCACTGGGGTATTGTATATGCATTGTCAGTTGAAATTGTGACTTTTCGTGTATAGCATACACAAGAAACCGTTCTTATAAGTTATTGCACTTACAACACCAAGCTTCTTCAATTTCTTTATTTCAGCTGTGTAAGATTACAGCACAACTTATGTTGATTTGATATTTTATTCACATTGTCTTCACTTTTTCCTTTTCTCTTTCCAAATCCCTACCTAAATGCATAATCCAAACACAGCCTTACTGTGTTTGATATCGATGAAGATAATGATGAAAGAGAAATTTAACATCAAACCTTAGAGGATTGCAGGGGCAAAGAAGCTTTGCGCACGGCCTTTCTAGGTTCTGTTAGCTGTCAAATCTCTCGAAGTTGTTATGCTATATCTTCTACAAGTTGCAGTTGAAATTTTTCCCTTTCCCGATAGTCCACAGAGAAGTTGAGCTTCTGTCTTTGTTCCTGGACAATGCTGAACCTCTCTCGGAGTCACTCAACTTCCATGTCAATTTTCAATCTTTCATTGTCAGCTGCTGACATTAAATTTTTCTGCAGACCAGAAACTATAGATTTCTCTACATATACTTGCTTGAAAATCAGCTTCTTCATCCCATCTGGAAATTCATAATTCCTCTCCAAGAGCAAGGGTGTACAGTTTTGCTTATCAATAGACAATAACTCATTAACTGAACTTTTATCTTTTACAATTTCCTTCTTGTCAATGGATTCACTAGCTGTTGGAGCATCAGCCTGTTCTCTCTGTATGTTCACCATTTACTGAATGTCATCTTGTAACTGTTAATTTCCAATATGAATCATCTGCCTATAAGCTTCAACTTCCCTTTCCAAGAAATGCTTCTCTTTCTGTCTCCTCACAAGAATTTCTTTACAGATGTTCATTTCTACAGCATCATAAGCAGATTTTTCTTCTATTATCCTCTGGTATTGCCAAGCTTCCATTTCTATGGATGCCTTCTCGTCTTGTAGACGCGGTATTATAGCCATGGCCTCATCTGCAGCTGTAGCAGCAGCACTTCTCTCCTTCTCAAGCTCAAGGTAAAGAGCAGCACGAGCAGCGTGTTCTTCTGAATGCATTTTTCTCATTACCTTCATAACCCAGTTCCTTCTGCACATTACTCTTTATCTCTTCATAGGATGATTCACTTTTCTAAGCTAGTTTCTTTTCATGAAGAGTTCCATCCAACTGAAAGCCGTGTGAAGCTCTATCCCCAAAATTCTTAACAACTGGAGTGTCCTCGTCATCTAAATCACACACCATACACAATAGCATTGTCATGCATCGTATTAGCAATAACCTAAGCATGGATCTATGAATGCTTCCATTTATGTTGTGTAAGATTCCATGTAAAATCTGATACACCAACCAAGTATTCATGACAACTCATGTCCAAAACATTGTTTTGAAATGGTTGCAAAGCTTATGCCCTGAGGAGAGCACAAGGAATAATCCTTGAGGTTTAAACATTCACACTAACAGTTTAAAGTGCTAATTGAAAAAGAGACAGAAAAATTATACTTTAACCCTTGCCATATATGTATTGGTGGTAGTCCATTTGTTTAAAACCAGAACAACCTCTTCACTTCTTTTTTTCTTTTTCTTTTTCTTTTCTTAAATGCATTTTATTTGTTCTTTCTTCTTTATTGTCAATGTTTATCTGCATTATATCCATGTTAAGTAAAAAAGAGGCCAAAGCTGTATTATGTATCTACGACATAGAGAGAAAGAAAACAACAAATTCTACAAATCTAGTTGTTTGGGATTTGATCAATTAAGAATAAAAATGTAGGTATCGTCAAAGAAACATGAAGCACTAACCTAGGGGGTGAGTTTAACCAATAAAAAAAAAAATTAAATTCCCTTACAAGCCGTCTCACACACACACACACATAGATGAATAATTTCGATCATCTGAAGGGCTCCTGAACTTTTCCACTTTTTGTTCTTTGTTTTAAGGATTTTAAAATATAACTCTTTTAAAAGCGTTTACTACGTGCATCTGGGACCTCCGAGTCTATCCTTGAAAACCCTTGGAGAATTTAAGAATCCTTGTTTTTAAAATAACTAAAGGATTTCAAGACCAAGGAATTTGACATCCCTTTATGGTTTAAAATCCCTTCCCATCCCTTTGCCAAGAGTGGCCAAGGTTTTTAAAAAAATTATAACACATAATTTCACCAGAAAGGTCTTCACTGGGGTATTGTATATGCATTGTCAGTTGAAATTGTGACTTTTCGTGTATAGCATATACAAGAAACCGTTCTTCTAAGTTATTGCACTTACAACACCAAGCTTCTTCGATTTCTTTATTTCAGCTGTGTAAGATTACAGCACAACTTATGTTGATTTAAAAAATGTGAAAGTGCAAACACAACATACACAGATACATGAGTTCACTAAATGAAACACTAATGCCTCTCTTCTTCTACTTTTTTTCTTTTTCTTTTCAGTTAAGGTGCAAAGTTTCGGATGAAATGAAAAAAAAAAATAAAAATGGATAGAATACAAACCAAGATCAAAATCAACACTCACAATTAAAGTGATTAGCATCAGCTCCAGAGCCGACTGGCAGTGAACTGCATCAATCTCATTATTCCCTTCACGATCAATGGTAAAATGTGACTGATCATTTGCATATGAAGGGTCATAAGAAACAGGCAAAACTTTTGCATAATCAGCAAGACCTTTTCGACGTCGCCTAAGACCATTCCTTGGCCTCTGATTTACAATCCCCTTACCCTTGAGATCAAACCCTCCCTTCTTGACATGAACTGATGAATTCACTACATCAAACCTCCTAACCAATTCATTCCTCAAAATCAAGTCCCTCTCAACCACATTTTGCAACTTCCTAGCACCCGATATTGAGCTACAAGACGCTTCGCCTTCCATTTCAACAAACCCATCAACACAATTGTTTTGATCTTTAATTAACTTCAAATTCAATTGGCAATCTGGGTTTTTCGGGTCAATTGAATCAAAGGGGAACTTTGTGTTCACAGACAGTTGAACAGAAGAGACTGTCTCAATTGGGCAATCAATTAACTGCCTCTTCAAGCAGTAATTGCTATTGGCGTTGCCAAATAGGCCATTAGAAGGACATGGTAAGAAAAGCCCCAAAACCCAGAAATTTGGAGGCGAAAAATGCAAGAGTGGATGCAGAGAGTAAGAGATAAGCAATAGCAAGATCAAGAAAAGCACCCACTAACTCACCACAATCATAACGAGCACACTGAGAAATTAAGAAATTAAGATTCAAACAGCACACTACAATCATATGCCCTTGTTTGTTTCCAGATAAAACTGACGGGAAAAAAATAAAAAAAATCAATACACAACGTGACCCTTCTTTTCTTCTCCATAAGATAATCCATAAGATAAGACGAGATTCAAAAAGTAAAGGGAAAAAAAATTAAAAGATGGGTATGAGAGAGAGAGAGAGAGTGAGTTACCAAAAAGAAGGAAAAGGACAGGGAATGAGATTCACAGTGAGAAGCTTCCTTTTCTTGTTATTGGTTGTTTGTTTGTTTGTGGTGATTTTTCAAACCCTAACGCCACGTTTGTTTTGGATTATAGGAAGAGTATTGAGACTAGTAATACTAAAGTATTACTAAAATTTTTGTTTATTTACAGAGAAAGTCTTGGTATTGCTAATACCCTTGGAAGGGGGATTGATAAGGAGGAAGTAGATATGGTATTAGAAAATAGTGAGGGGATTAGAAATTTTTTTATTTTTTATATATTGGGAATTTTTTTTAAATATAATGTTTAATTTTTTATATTTTTTTATTTATTTTATTATTTTATATAAAAATAATTTAACAATTCCTCATTATTAATCCCCTCACTAATAATTCCCTCACTATTAATCCTCTCATTATCAATCCCCTCCATTCTATCTCCCAAAACAAACGGGTCCTAATGTTCAAAGGTGGAGAGTATGAAAAGTCTTGGGGCGGACGCAGCAGCAATTGTTATATATTTTTGTACTCTTTTGAGAGGTTGGTAAAAAATTAATTTTTTAATTTTTGACTTTTTTTAATGATTTTTTTGACAAAAAGTTGAGTTGTTTTAGGTTAAATAGTTGAATTTTTTTGGCTTAAAAAAGTTGAAAAGTTAAAAAGTTGACTTTTTTGGTGTGTTTCCAAAAGAGCTTAGGTTTATTTAGGATTTAATTTGATAATTTAAATTGTTCATATTTTAGAAATTATCAAATAAAATATACCAATAAAAAATCACGTCAATCGGATATTGCTAGCCTTTTCATCAAATCACATTTGCGTTTTAAAAAAAATAAATGTAACTTGAAATATAAAACTCAATGCAAATATAATTTGATGAAAGAGATAACAATATTTAATCAACGTGATTTTATACAAGTATATTTTATTCGATAACTTCTAAAATGTGAACGATTTAGATTATCCAATTAGACTCTGAAATAGGCCTAATTAAGTGTGTAATAGTTGCTGCTACGCACCATCTATAGCAACAACCCAAACACATGAAAATAGATCCAAGAGAATTATAAATGAGAAACAGTTAGCTTGCTTGGTTGTGTTTTTTTAAAAATACTTTTTAGAAAATTCTACTTTCTTATTTTTCGTATTTTTTTGTTTTTATGGAATTTTTTTAATATTTTAAGCAATTTTTTTTATTTTTTAGACATACCTAACATAAATATACCTAAAAAGTAAAAAAATTGTGAAAAAAATATTTTAAAAATTCACTAAATACCAAAAATATAAAAAAAAATACACGAATTCAGTATATTTTTTGTATTTTTATGTATTTATTAAATTTTTAAAATATTTTTTCACAAATTTTTTACTTTTTAAATATATCTAAATAAAGTGCATCTAAAAAGGTAAAAAAAATGTTTAAAATTTTAAAAATATTCACTAAAAATAAAAAAATACAAAAACTAAAAAATTAAATTTTCAAAAAATTTAATCCAAAAAATTCAAACCAAACACTGAGTAATGTTAGAGAGTAAAAATTTTTATTAAATATCTTACCTCCGTCTATATAAAATGAAAAATGCTTGAGAGCTCTAGGAATTGAGCTCTAAACCATGCACTAATGACATGGAAGTGTGTGAGGTCCAGTTTGATGTGATGTTTTAGCTTAAAATTTTTTTTTTTTTTTTTTTGGGGGACTGCCAGCTCTGTAGAGCTCTTTTTAGAGCTCTACTTTTAGAGCTCTATAGCATTGTTGATATAAAATACTTAATAAAAAATTTAATAAAATTTCTTTTGGAATCTCGAAGCACTTTTCAAAAAGAAAAGGAACGATATGGACAAGGGTTATTGTTGTTGGTTTGCTCACATGGAAATGCGTGTGCTATTGTTTTGTATTTTCCACATAGATACTATGTTAGTGAGGATTATTTTTAAAGCTAATGAGGGTTGTCTTTTGGAATCTCTCTACTTGTCCATGAGGCTTCGTTTGTTTTTAAAGGTGAAATGAAAAAGATTGATAGTGAGTGGATTAATAGCGAAAAAATTATTAATGAAAAAATTAATAATAAAGGGATTAAGTAAAATTGTGTTTATTTTGAAGATAATTGTTATAGATTGTTAAATTATTACCCTATAAAAAAAATATAAAATATTAAAACAAATAAAATTATGATTTTTACTTGACAAAAAATACAAAACATTAAACATTAATGTTAAAAAAAATGCCCAACATTAAAAAAATAAAATAAATAAAAAAACCTAAGTCGGAAGACTAATTTCCTAATATCACATCAACCTCCTCCATCTCAATCCCAACACTAAAGCCCATCCTAATCCTATGGGATTGTGAATCCCCTCTCTATCTCCCAAAACAAACACAATATATAGTGGCTCTCACCTCCATCTCAATCTCGGATTTGGGGTGGCTGTTGTGCGGGGTGTACAACAGCCACTATTGTGCAGTCAAATGGGCCAATTTCGATAATTCGAACTGTTCACATTTTAGAATACATCAATTAGTACAAATTTGCAAAAAAAATAAAGTTAATCGGATATCGTTTATTCATTCATTCACTCACATTTGTACCTACAAAAATAAATAACAATTGTGATTTAAAGTATTAAAATGAATACAAATGTGAGTAGATGAAAGAGTAAACGATATCCGATTAACTTATTTTTTTGCTAGTATGTTCTACTTGATGTATTTTAAAATGTGAACGATTCGGATTATCGAAATGGGCCCATTTGACTGCACAACAGTAGCTGTTGTGCACCCTGTACAGCAGGCACCCCAAATCCCTCAATCTCATTCCCATCTCTATCTCCTAAAACAAACGAGGCCTTACGCCCAAAGATTTGCATAATTAGCTATTTTAGTTGTATTTTAATTTTTATAAAGATAGGTACTGAAAGTTAAAAAATGGATTATTTACCAATAAATCCTACTTCACAAACTGTTATACCAAAGAGTCCCACTTTTATTCTATTATACTCGTTAGTCCTGCTAGTGGGTTGATTTGGTCTTTTTTGTTTTTTTTTTTTTCATTTTTGGTATCACTGTGTGGACGAGCGTGCCCTTAGGTTAATGTGGTACTGTTTTGCGGGGTCAGTTCTTTTTTTGGAAACGTTGCTCATTCCGGTTTAGCTAATTTTGATGATACATTCAAATACATTTCAGTCATTGTGAGGTAGGGTTTTCGAATTTGAATATGCGTCTTCCTTGCCGACGGCTGTGTGACACACCCTCAAAGATTCGGAAATCTGTCGTGTATACGCTATTCTCTGCCTGGTATGCTTACTTTTTCTTGGGTCGTTTACCTTTGATATGGATTGTAGGCATTTATATTTTGTTCTGTGTTTTTTTCATGTTTCATGTATGTGGGTGGTTTCTGTATGTTGGCCGATCATGGTTCTCCAATGTGGCTGATGTGTTGGGTGTGTGTGGGACTTCGCTCTGTCTGGGAAATAGAGGGACATGCGTTTTACAAGAGTCGTTTTTAATGGTGTGTGGTGTGCTAGTGGTGTTATTCTTTTCCTTGGTGTTAACCCAAGTTCTAAAGTGCCACGTTTTCCTTATGGGATGTGCTCTGTGTGGGTAACGTAGGGACATGCATTTTACTGTGGGTGGGAAATCATATTTTTAAGTGTGTGTGTTGCCCCATTTTGTAGTGTTTTTAAATTTTTTTTTCCCTCCCTCTCCTCATGAATCATATGTTCACATTCGCAGGAGGATGGACAATGGAATTATGCTAATATGTTGTTACGGCAATGTGAATGTTGCTATTAATCTGTAAGTTTCGTTTCGATTTGACGACATGGTCAGTGGTGTGTGTGAAAAGTTTGATGGGCTCACACCTGCCGATGCATGTTTCTACTTCAAGATGCCCGGTTATAACAATTTCATATTGCAGAACGATGTTGATGTGGCGAACATGGTATGTCTTGCATGGTCTTTTCAATTGCAATGCATTGATGTATTAATTGAAGTACGACGTGCACAAGACGGTGACAATGCTAACAGCCAATTACAGACAGCTCATTGTCAGCCGACCGATGTGTTTGACGAGTCGGACTTGGATGACGAAAATGATTTATTGGCAAAATCCTGCCCTCATGTTGACAAGGTGTTTTTGTCTGCCCAATGGGCTAACGGGATTCAACGTATTGGCCAAAGTTTTGAAGGTGGAGCGGATGAATTCCGAAGTGTTCTTCGCAAGTATGCTGTCAAATGCGGCTTCCATTTTAAATATGTCAAAAATGATTCTGTGCGGATCACAGCTATATGCATGATAAGGGAATCAAAGGGATGCATGTGGTCGGTACACGCACGCGTTTTGCATGCTAACGGATTTTTCTACCTTCGCAAGTGGAATAAGGAGCACATTTGTGGCGTAGCTGTTCGGACCCCAAAAAACCCCAGGGCTGGTTCAGATTTAGTGTTCGATGTTATTTCTGATCGGGTACATGACAAGCCACTCACGTGACCCACAGATGTTGTCTACGACCTGAAAAAAGATTATGGATTAGAGGTTAGCTACCGGGTTGCATGGTTAGGTGTTGAAAAAGCTCGAGGGGAGATGTTTGGTGCACACTCCATTTTGTTCGACCAATTGCGGTGGTACAGTTCCGTTGTCATTGAAAACAACCCTGGAAGTTATGTCAATATTGAGTGTGATGAACACAACAACCATTTCATAAGGTATTTCATATCATTCAAAGCATGTATCGATGGGTTCAATCATTGCCGGCCATTGCTATTCTTGGATGGGACTTTTCTGAAGGGAAAATTCAAGGGGCACTTGCTAGCCGCTACTGTGAAGGATGCCAATCAAGGTACTGTTATAATGTTGACACAAATCATTTTCGTTGTACAATAATAATTTCATTATTTATTACCGACACAATGTTTTAGTGTACATTGACTCACTCACATGTTAATTGGTCTCACCAACACACCACCAACATATTTGCAAACCTAACTCA